AGGAATGAGGTAAATACATAGATTTGTGTCCCTTGGGATAAGGGATGCTTTCTATGCACAGACCAGTATATTCCATATCAGTTATGTTTACGTAAATTTTCATGTTTGACTAAGCATGTCTATCGCACAATGTTTCTTCTAGTAACACTCAAATCTGTAGCTAGAAAGACTACACATTTGTAGTCAACATCATCATCCCAGTGGAGCAGTGCGTTGGGCTTGTGTTGAATCCTGGTTTTTCTGATTACCAGCTCTGTGACTTGGAAAAATTATTAATTTATCTGGTCTTGGCTTTCTCTGCTGGCAGTGAGACCAGTATGCACAAGCCTCTGGTATTCTGGGGTATCCAACCCAGAGCTTGGTTGCACAGTGAGCATCTGTGGGGTGCTGGCACCAGCCTCCCAGCCAGCAAGAGCCCGTTCTGCATGTCTTCCCAGCTTTGTGTTTCTTAACATCATGCCAGCCATGGTGAGAGTGCTCACACCACAGAAATTGGCAGCTATTATAAGTCAGGGCCTCTTTTTCCAGGAGAACCAGTCTTTAAACACTTCCTAGTTCACTACAGGTGGGTACTGAATCACTATTAATTGCTACACCCTAGAGTTTTTCAGTAATCTGAGTTTCCGTTTGTGCCCTACTGTAATGTAGCCAATGTCAGAATCCAGCTGATTCCAATACAAACTGTGCTGCTGGAATGTGTGACCTAGCTGTTTTGGGGTAAAGCTGGAGAATTTCTAATGCTGATACTGCCATTCTGGACACCAAACTTGGGGACACTAGCCTAATGTGTCTAATAAACTAATGCCACAATGTGGAGTCCCTTGTGACTCCTCAGAAAAGATTGTCCCTTCTGTCTCAGGCAATAGCACTGTGATGAATGCTGACATAGTATCTGGCCCATATGCCATCTCATGTAATCTCCTTAAAAACTCTCTGGCAATTATTACTGTTTTAATCCTCATATTATAGATGGAGCAAACTGAGGCTTGGAGGCACTCATTAACTTACCCACTGGCCCTAGACAGAAAAGCCAAGTGAAATTCAAATCCTCCACCTCCGAGGCAATCACTTGGGTTACGCAGGTTGTACAGACTCAAGGGTGAGTGGGTCAAAATCCTGAGCTCTGCAGGCCCCACTGTGCATGGGCAGCACCACCTCCCCCTAGGGAGTTATTGTGTTCTCACTTGCATTAACATACTATGGAGGCTGGTAGGGCCCCTGTCCAAATGTTTACTCTCTGCCCTTTGCTGCGTCCCTTTGGGTCTTTAAATTGGTCCAAAGACAGAGTAAGTGGGAGAAGGAAACTAAGAGCACCAAGCAGAGATTATTTAAAGTGACCTCGGGCCTGCACATGCGAGGATGTAGAAGCAGCTTACAAAACAGCTGTTCCTACAGGAGGTTTGGGGGGCAGGTGTCAGGAGGCTGGAGCGAAGGGATTTGGCCGCAAGCAAAGGCACAGATTGTCAGCGATGAGAGAGCTGTGTCTCCTGCCCACCCCTGGCATGTGTGTGGCACTGAAGGTGCCCAGGGGGTGGGGCAATTAGTCTGTATCGCAGGGCGCCTGGCTCTGCCTCCCCCTTCCCTCCCACTGCCTTTTGCAATTAGATTGCTCTGGGTAATGGCTGCCAAACCACTTTGTTAGAACTGATGGGTTTATTAATTTCTTGGGGGCTAATAGGAGGGTGGGTGGGAGATTCATTTCCCAACTGGAGCACGGGGGCTAATTAGTCTCTTTGCCAGGTCCCCAGAGGTGAGAAGTGGGAGGGTGCGTTGCTCAGGCTGTTGGATCTGGCTCTGGATAAATCATTCCTATCCTTGGCTTGCACAGGGAACCTAGCTTATGGCTCCAGTCAGATGCGGAAGCCTGGGGCTGGAGCGTCTTACAGCGGTGGTTAGTGAGCACTGAGCCCCTTGAGAATAGTGGGGGTTGGAAAGTGACAGGAAGATCTGAGGGTGACAAAACAGGGTTCAGAAAATTTCAATCCTTTACCAAAATCTCAAATGCTGACCTCTCGCCCGATTTCTTAAAATATTTCTTCTGTCCAAATAAAGCCTTTCTCAGCTTAGAAGACCATCGGGAGCCAATTCCACCCGTTTTGAAGGCTGGGAAAGTGAGCTCCTTGAAGAGACAAATTCACCAAGAATACAGCTGTGCATTTGGAGTTCTTATTGCATAGCTGAGCCCAGAGAAGCCATGTCCTGTTTCGCGTGGCCTCTTGGGTAAAGGGTACATTGGCATCCCCTCCCTAAGCGGGACAGACACAGGAAGGATCATGACTTTAGGAATCAAACAGAAGTGGTTTTAAGCCTGTGCTTCATCTACCAGCTGTGTGACTTGAGGCAAGCCATAAAGCCTGCCTGCGCCTCAGTTTCTTCAGAAATAAAATAGAAACCAGTAACTATTCTAGGGGGGCATAGGAGAGTTCACCGAGGTGACAGTAGTTTGAATCTAACACAACAGATGTCAGTAACTATTACCCTTTCCCTCTCCATTTGGGAATCTAAAAGTATGTTTCACTCCTTGCCCCTGCAGTGAGAGAGAGTAGGGGAAGGTCAGGCAATGGCATGACTTGGCTGGTCCCTTTGAGACACTGTAGGAGCTCCAGAGGCCAGAGCGGGGAGTTCATCTACCTTCTTCCCATGCCTGGCCAGTAACAAAACTCTGCTGACAGGAGAGGATGGCTCTCCCTGCTCTCAAGTCCAGACTGAGCATAAATAAGACTGTTTTTTTTTCTTTTTCTGTCGTGAGATGCACATGCTACTGGGAAAACATGTCAGGAAGTGAAAATGCTCAGAGAACACTGGAAGGTTAAGACAGGATGACCATGATGGCTTTCTTTGGAAGATCCCTCTGGGGACAAGAGCACAGGACGTCAAGCTCAGGCTTTTCAGGCTGTGTGACCCCAGACAGGTTGAGTGGGCTGTCTTTTTGGGTCTCAGTTTCTTGATCTCTTAAGAGAGGTTTGCTGCTTGGTTGTATATCAGGCACTGCTTCCAAAACCCAGGAGCATGCCCAGAACCATTGTGCTCCTGCAGAGGTAAAGACAGCTGCTGCCTCTTCTGGTGGCTTCCTCACAAAGGCACAGAGAGCAGCCTCTGGTCTTTGATTGTCTCCCCTTTGCCAGCTGAAAGCCAGTCCCATTCCCTGAGGGGCTGATGTAACTGGAGGCCCACAAGAGCTTGTCTGGGTGGTCCTGGGTTATCCTGCCCTCTACATCCTTTACCTTCTCCAAGCCAATGAATACGGGAAGCTGAGTGCCACTCGCTGGGACCACGGGCTCTTTTGCACCATAGTGCAGGGGAGAGAGGCAAGTGTGAGCCACATCTTTACTGTTGGAGCATCCAGAAGAGAACCTAGAGCCCTGTGCTAGGAAACAGAGCCACATAGCACCCATGGGACTCACAGAGTTCTCCAGGGAGGCTGCTGCTGGTTCTGGAGACACCTGGGACAGGTGGCAGTGCAGCCAGCTGCCAGCTTTCTCTCTGGCTGCCCACCTCAGACACTCAGTGACAAAAGCCACTTGTTGGGGAGTCCGGCTACCAGTACTATATCAGAAGTTGATATATGTACACTATATACAGTTTACTTATCTATACATCATGTGTTTTTATATTATTTGCATATACATTTATATAATATATATCTAGATATACAAAGGATTCCACTGGGGAAAGTGATCTCACAGTCCACTGCTGTTGAATTTAGGCTTAGGTAACTTCCTCAATTACCTAACTTAAGGGGAAAAAATTTAAGTCGTGGATTTTTGTTTCACAAGATGTCTTTAAGACAGTGGGGTAGTCAACAGGAATATATTGTACATTTAAGATAACAACATGCAACATATTAGTGTTAATGTCCTATGATTTTTTTGAAATTCTATATAATTTCTATCCTTTTTTTCTGTTTTGCTTTTTTAAAATAAAAAAATTTAAATTTTTTTGAGAGGCTAGATCTCATGTTGTGTTTTCACCACAAAATAAAAATGAAACAAAAGGCAATAAAATGAAAATTAAGCAAAAGGGAATTGGAAAGAAAATCACATTTGCTGAGTGCCTGGCTAAATACATCCTCACAATCACCCAAAAAAATGTTATTATTGTTCCCACTTGGCAGATGAAAAAGCAGGCCCTGTGAGTTTAGAAACCCTCTTGAGGTTCCATGGTGACTGTGTGCCCAAGTCTGGGTAGATGTGGAGTGTGTCAGAAAGGCCATCAGTGATGGCACTTGTCTGTGACAGAAGGTGGGGAGTTCTTGACACCCCCATTTACAGATGAGACTGAAGGTCTCAGGTACCTTCTCTAAACTATCAGATCGAGCAAAGGTATCAGCCAGATATCTGGACCTTTCCTCTTCTGGCTCATTAGTTCATTCATTCATTTTGTTTGACCATTCCGCAAACACTTATTTAAAAAAATGTTTTATTAGTCCATGTTTCCAGGACATAATGACTGCATTCGCTGTGGGCTTTGGTGCATGGATGTAGCACATCTTAAGTTTTTCCTCTCCCTTTCTTTCATCTCTTGGTTTCCTTAGCAAACATTTGTTAAAAGTCAAGTGTATGCCATTCCCCCCAATATAACCATTCTGATTCTTACTTAGATGATAATTACTGAAGGCAAAGTGGAATACAAGAGCACTGTAGCTCATCCCTGCCTAAAAAGAATGGGATTCCCGTTTCCCATTCCCTTCTGGACAGCTTTTTTTTTTTTTTTTTTTTTTTTTATCAGTACCTGGGATCCAACTCACGACTGCCTGCTTGCAAGGCAGGTGCTTATGCTGCTGAGCTAAGTCCCCAGCCCCTAGCCAGCTTTTCTGAACACATTTACTTCTCCATTTTCCTCACCCAGTCTTTGCTCCTTCTTTCCCGAACCCTAACGGGCCCTTTTCCCTCAAGCCTGTAGCCCTCTGGAGTCCTCTGGGCTCCTGCAGTTGCAGGAGGCCTGCAACTGTGCGGGCTCCTTTCTGTGTCTTCCCAATCCTTTCGCATTGGTCTCCTCAGATTGGCCAGTGGCACGTGGCAGAGGGCCTCAGCATGGACAGCCGTCTCTACGCCTCGAACATCTCCGACAGCCTCTTCAACACCACCCTAGTCGTCACCACCATCCTGGTAAGCAGGGGTCTCCTAAGCCTCCCAGCTGCCACTCCTCGGGGTGCCTCCCTCCCAGAGCCTTAAGAGCTCACAGGCTTCCCTGGGAGCGCTCATCACAGTGCAGAGGCCAATTTATGACAGTGTAATTACACTCAAGTTGCTGTTTCATATGGAAATGATATTTGATGAACTCCCAGGCAGCTGAGGAAAGGCATTGGAGGGGAAGAGCCTACAGTTTGGAGGCCTCTTTCAGGAGTTCCTTGATGGCCAGGGGACCTTCCTGTGTAGGTGGGGGTGCTGGATACCCTGCGGGGCCACTCTCTTTCCCAGCAACCTACCTTGCTTGGGACCTGCTGTATATACAATGAATGCCCCTCTAACTTCCAAGTGGATACCTCAAAATGTCTGTGGTTTTCAATGGCTGCTCTTCACTTTCTGGTGGTACAAAGAGAGTTCTCAGTGACTCCCAGGGCAGAGGACCATCTCTGCCTTTCTGTTTAATTTCCAAGTTGACCCCTCGCCCCTGTCCCTGCCATGTGCCAGGTGTGGTGCTTAGTCACAGAAGCCAAAGATGAGTAAAAATCTCTATCCTCCCCGAGGTTATATTTAGCAAATGAGATAAGCCAGGTGCATACACAGCCAATGTATTATTTGTGTGTGTCCCCCGCCCAGGACCTAATATTTTAAAAGATTTGTCAGTTAAACCAACTGTATATATTAAGCAACAATAATTAGGTTTTTCCCTCCCTTCTCCCCTTTTTAACTAGTCAAAAGTATATTTTCCTCCCTTACACACCTTCTTGTCAGCATTAACCAGTGTGGTGACAGTATTTCAGCCCAAAGCAGAGACCATGTACGGTAAAGCATGCTCAGCCTTCTCCCTGCCAAATGTGCAAGGTCTGTCCCATTTCTTTTAAGCTTTTTGAGATAATAACAATAATAATAAAAACTCAGGGATCTCTAGCATGACCTTCACCGGAGTCACAAAGGTAGAGCTGTGGGAGACAGAGGAGACAGAGGTTCCATCCCTCACACAGGTCAGCGACGCCTTAAGAAGAGACGTTTAAGACTGACTCAGAAAGACAGGAACAATTGGAGAGATGAAAGGGAATGAGGGGAGCATTGTTAGGTGATTAGGAAAGGCTGAGAAGTGTGAGCTCTCCTCAGAAATAGGCACTGTAAGGAAAGAGAGAGAGCAAGCCCAGAAAACCGTTGATTTGGTAAGCAGTGGGCCGCTGAATATTTGCATTTATTCACCCAGTGAATGTGTATTGCATGCTGCTCCATACTTGACACCATTGTAGGCACTCGGGTCCATCGGTGAGCCAGACACAGAAACCCCTGCCTGTAGGAGATTCCGTGCCAGTGAGAGGGAGAATAAGAAATCAATACAGCTTGAATGTTCCTTATTCAAAATGCTTAGGGCGTGTTTCAAATTGCATAGTTTTTCAGGTTTTAGGATTTTTATCCAAAACTTTTACCAGGTTAACATCCTTGATTCAAAAATTCAAAATTGGACACACATGACAGTATCATGTCAAATTCAAAAAGTTCCCAGTTCGGAGTATTGTAAGATTTTGGCATTTTGGATCCCCATCCCCAGTGATAAATTAGAAGATGTGAAGCCGAAGGTCAAAAGATAGAGCTGGGAGCTGGGGACATGGGTTTGGGGCACTGAGGGGGAAGTGGTGTTAAAACCCAGGTGATGGGTTAGGTCTGCACAGAAAGCTGGTGCAGGTGAGAGGCGGCCTGGGGAGGAGCAGCTGCAGTGAAGGACAGAGACAGCAGCCCCAGCTCCCAAGGGTTTCAGGCTCTCCCCGTCCCAGCCCCACCCTTAGTTTCTCTGAACAGTGAGGAACGCCAGGAAGGTTAGAGGTGGTGGTGTACCCATTCAGGCTGAGGGCTGGAGACAGTGGCTGAGCTGCACTGGGGAGCCCACAGCCGCACTGTTGGGATAGCCTTCCTGCTGTCTTTTTAACCCCTGAAAAGCTTCGGGAGTCTGTTCCTTCCTCCTTGTCCTCCTCCTCTTCCTCCTCCTCTTCCTCCTCCTCTTCCCCCTCCTCCTCCTCCTCCTCCTCCTCCTCCTCCTCCTCCTCCTCCTCCTCCTCCTCCTCCTCTTCTTCTTTAATCTGCCTTTGCTCTGAAGGTGTTTGCCAATCTGGTCAATGTGGGGCTTTGATTTTAGAGCACTTATGGGGAGAGAAGAGTAATAGTGAAGGTCAGAGACCTTCTCAAGGAGAGCCTGGAGGAGTGCCCCCCACTTTATAAGGTTTGGGTGGATTCCTGCCCTACCTGGCTGTCTTATTACCAAAAGGAGCAGGAAAAAAGAAAAAGAAAATATGGAAAGCTTGTCTCTGGAATTGTGGTCATAGGTCTGCCTTTCTGAGAATTTTTAGCCTAGCTTTACACTGGGTAGTAAGTAATTCAAAAGATCAAGCCTGAATTTAAGGTGTTTTGGTGTGGTAATGCCTTCAGGCTTCCTACAGGAGCAGGTTTAAAACCTCTTGGGAGAAAGTTATCTTCATTGGGAGATACAAAACTTCAATTTTTTAAAGACAATAGTTTGTAGTGCATTGTATCATGAGTTAGAACCAATAGAAATAGCCTCGAAAGACTTCGTTTATTAGAAGAGCCAAATGTGGTGGTAGGGGGCTGAGGCAGGAGGATCACTTGAGCTCAGGAGTTTGGAGCCAGACTGGGCAATGTCACAAATTCCCATGTCAAAAAATGAAAGTAATTCTTCAGTATGTGGGCTGCTCCCCCATCCCCACACTGGGGTTCAAACCAGAGGTTGTCTATCACTGAGCTACATCTCCAGCCCCTCTTACTTTTTATTTTGAGACAGGATCTAACTAAATTGCCCAGGTGAGACTTTGGCCTTCAGTCTTCCTGTCTCAGCCTCCCTTAGTGCTGGGATCACGGATGTGTGCCCAGTTCCCTTCTATCCATTCACAGCCTACACCCCAATCCGGAAACCAGGCCCATCTGCCTCTTGCCCTCAGCTGCCCCACGTTGACCTCACAGCTTGCTTCTCGGTTGTTCTGTCTGTCTGCCCTCCTCCTCCTCAGCTGAAATCAGAGCTGTCCTGTGAGTTCCTTCCCACCGCCCCTCATCAGGGCTGGCCCACCTCACCTTCTCACCCTGCCTGCTGCTCCGGATCTGTGTCATGCCCCTCCCATCTTCGCATGTGCTCTTCCTCCACCTGGAACACCCTTCCCTGAATTCCTGCTTCCTGCCGAAAAGGAGGAAGATGCTGCACACCCTCACACCTCCGTTCAGTGGTCACCTCTCCATGGAGTCTTCCCTTGTCGGGTTCCTGTGCTCTTCTTCATCTGTGTTTTCCCACCCCCTCTGATGTGGCACGTCTTCCTGAGAGGTGACAGTTTGCATATAAAAGTTCTATAAAAGAGCTTCTCTAAGATTTGGGGGCCTGACACAAGCAGGAGCTCAGTAATTAGAATTTGAGTGGAGGAATTCCTGGTGAATCTGGGAGAGGAATTTTAAGGAATTCCTTAGAAACCAGGAAGATCTGGGGAGGGAGACGGGGGACTTGCTGGGTTGTACTTCCGCCTGGGATTTCAGCTGTGCTCAGAGCCTGCATAGAGTCCATGACTGCGCACCGAGACCACTGGGTCCTGTTTCCAGGCTGGGAGTCACTCCGAGCTGCACGTGTGTGTGCCTGTGTGCATTCACGTGCTCCCACACCCACATGTGGGTGCATGAGGGGGGCTGACAGGACGGCTCCCGTAAGAGGTGCTGTTTAGCAAAACAGTGAGCACAACTCAACATAAGATCAGCATTGGCTGTCTTCTTATGCATGTGTGTCTGCATGTCAGAGACGGCGGATGGGAAAGACCAGGAAACATGGTCCTCGCTCAGTCCCTAGGTGACCATTTGTGGGGTTTCCCTTGTAAATCGTAATCTGGAATGATTTATCCTTTAAAGCTCTGTACGTATCTATGTCATCTCTTACTCATGTCAGGGTACACTTGGGACGTGTGAATGATTTATTGGTTAATACCAGCAAACACATAGATGGGTCTTGGCTCCCACCCTGCAGTCAGCCCCCTGTACCTCCCACAGTGCCAGGAAGCCCCAGGCTTACAGATTTTGGCTTTCCAGTACATCTCCTCCCTCCAAGATCAGCCTTGTGGATATTTACTTCGAACAAGTCAGTGAATTTTAAAGTAACTGCAGAGTAGAGGTATGTAGAGAGGAGAGTTTTGTGATACCCTTTAGGATAATTAGAGACACCCTGGTCCCGGGATGGGGCCCTTAGCCAAGCCCTGTCCATGATGTCATTTTCTGTACTACAGTCTACAAGTGCTTAGCACTGGTGGGTAGGGTTAGTCCCAGGCCCTACGTCCCTCTGCCTGGTCGCTGCACTCAGGGGCCGAGGGGAAGACACTGGAGGGCAGTCCTAACCCTGGCCATGAGCACACGGGGCTTCTGAGCAGCAGGTTGGCATGGGAGGAGACTTCAAAGACAGCAGTGGGCTGGGTCAGGTAGAAAACGGGGAGGAGAAGATGGGGAAGAGAGAAGCCCTGGAGCCAGGTGGCATGTGTGAAAGGCAGGGAAGCTGGTCCATGTCTTTGCTGATCACTAATCAGAGCCACTAGGTCACCTTCAACTCAGAGTTCCTGTTCCCTGATACACAGCCCAGTTCCACCCCACTTTCCACTACGTCACACTCACAAAACCGCTCTCCCATCCTTCGTCATGACCTCTGGTCTGCCTGGCACGCTAGTTCTACCCAATCACGCCCTCCCCCAGGCAGAAGCCCCAGTCCAGTTCAAACCCAGCGACTCAGCATTGAAGCACTTCCCTCTCTTGGCTTCCAGAATCACCTCCACATGGCACTAAGCCATCTCCCCTCATACCTGTCCCCAAGCCTGATTGTCTCTGTGATCCCTGCTCCCAGCTGCCAGTCTGCATTTGTCCTGTCTTCAGCTGAGCCTTGGCAGTCCCCTGTGCTCAGCTCTTCTCTCTGCCTCCATTTCCACTGTGTAGTCCTGCTGAAGCTTCTCGTACACCAAGCCTTTGGTCCTGCCTACCTGCCTCACCTTGGTACCACCTTTGGGGTTGGTGTGGGTTCACCTCCTCTCTGTGTCCTCTGTACCCGTACTCTGCACCTTACCCCAGCTGCCTGCCTGGCCCCACACACTCTGGGCTCTGTGTCCACTGCTGTTTCGAGGACCTTGCTCTTTCTGCCGCTCCCTCTCTTTGCCTCTCTAACTTCCTTTTGCAGGGATGACTTGTTGCCTAGCTACAGATGTGCTCTGGTATCTCCCCATCGCTGCCACACCACCTACCCTGCTGCCCTTCAGTGATGCTCCATTTTAGGGAGTTACAGGATCAGGACCAGGCACGCCCACGGGGACCCTCTGTCCTGTTTGTGGAAGGGCACTGCAGCTCAGCTCCAGGGAAGGCCTGACTTAGAGGAGCTGGGTGGCGAAGGACCTGCTCTTTGCTTGCTGCCTGTTCCCTCTCCCAGCTTCTCCAGATGCTGGTCCATGTGCTCCCGCATGCTTTCATGACTCCTGGTCCTTGCAGAGGCTGGCCACCCCGCTGTGTCTCCAACACCTCTGAAGACCGCATGACCTGTGACCTGGCTGCTTTCTCCTCCTTCAAACTCCTTTCCTCTTGAGTTTCCATGCCTATGCATTCCTGGTATCCATGGATACACTTCCCTTTTCTGCTCTCAAAGATCAGCCTCCCCCACCCCAGGCGAGACCTCCTGTTACTCTTCTGTCCTGTCTCACTTCTTCCCCCCATGGTGTCACCCTTTCTGCACCTCCTGCCTTCGCCTCTGTGCAGACGCCTCCCAGACCCTGTCCCCCTTTAACCTCCTCTCACATATTAAACACCTGCCAGTGATTTCCTCCTGGATAGCCTGCCACCATGCCAAATCCAACATGTCCCAAACCTTCTTCCCTCCCAAGCCAGGACAAGGATGATACTATTCTCAGTCACCCACCCAGGTGTCAAGAGTCCAGGTTCTGTCCCCTGCACTCAGCACTCAACCAGTCATCAAGCCTGCTCTTCCCTGTGTCTCTTACATCCTTGCAGCTCTCTGCAGACCAGGCTGAGCCACTTGCAGCTCAGCATAGCGTCACACGCCAAGAGAAGACCTATCCTGGTCCCTCTCTTAATACTTGATATTCTTTGCTCACAGCTTTCTATCTGTAAACCAAAGATGCTCCGTCTTATGTAATTTGCAGTTGCCTCATCCTGGCACTGAGGCTTGTATGGACCCTAACTCATCATTCTGAATTTTTCCTCCCTCACACCTGATCTCCAGCTAAAGCGGAGGAGCCATCAGGGCTGTGAGAGGGTCACACTCCGTCTCACCTGGGATTGTGCCCAGTCATGCCTTTCTCCTGCCCTTTATGCCCTTCATTCCTCTCCCTTTCATCTGCCAGTGTCCTGCTGTCCTCCAGAGCCCAGTGGGGATCCCACCTCCTCCATAGCCTTCTCTGGAAAGCTCACCACCTGCCCTCTTCCTGGTACTCTGCCTTGGATCACAGCGACTCATGTCACGTTCTTAACCACCCTAGTTTATTCGAAGCATCCTCATGTCCCCTGTCCTCTGTATTTCCCAGCAGCAGGTCCAGGCAATAAGCAAAAGAAAGAGGGAGAGTAAGAGAGAGAGGGATGGAGGAATGTGATGACCTCGTACAGTGACTCCACCCTGTCCATGGGGGGTGCCACTGTGTATTGCTGGTAAGAACAGCACCAGGAAGGGGTGCTTTGAGGAATGGGTGAGGGGAGGGCAGTGCATTGCCACTGCCAATGTAGCCCATTACCCAAAGCCCATCTTGTCCCTAACTTTCACATCCCAGTGGGCCTTCCCTGTCCTGTGTGGCAAGATGCCAGAGTTAAGATGAGAATGACAGCTGCCCAGTTTTGCTGCAGGAAAACCCGTATTTAATGCTGAAGGGGAACCACCAGGAGATGGAAGGCAATGACCGCTATGAAGGCTTCTGTGTAGACATGCTCAAGGAGCTGGCCGAGATCCTCCGGTTCAACTACAAGATACGCCTGGTCGGAGATGGTGTGTACGGTGTGCCAGAGGCCAACGGCACCTGGACAGGCATGGTCGGGGAGCTAATTGCTCGGGTAAGGAGTGGACACGACCTGCATGCATGGATGGACCGGGAGGGCGAAGGAAGGGTGCAAAGTTGTGCTGTATACCCATGAGACTTTCAGTGACATGTGCCCTCATTCGTGACTTCTTCATTTGTTTGTCCATTCATTTCATGAAACTTTAGGGAGCCGGCATGGGGGATGTGCCTTGAAAAACAAGACCGTGTGATCCCTGCCTCAGGGCCTCCCAGTACTCCCCAGGAATAAATCCTTGATGCCCATTACCATGGATGCAGGAGTGTAGCTTCTATTTTTGGATAATACAGATGATTTTGTGTATTCGGATGATTTTGTGGCTCATCACCACCACCGTGCCCCGACAGAGCTCGATGCACCCTAGGAAAGTAGAACACACAGCATCTGCTGACTTTGATACTTGAGAGATACTGTCAAGGGATGCATGATTAAATAATATGGTCACCTGTCAGAGGAGGCGGTCACAGTGATGTTAGTTTGTTCCTTCTTGTGTCATTCTCTACTATCATAATGTCCTTTTATAGACCAAGAGCCAAGGTATACTTGGATGTGCTGCAGATTTCTGGGGTGAAAGTGGACACTTGATTAAAATGCAGGGGAGCATCCTAGAATGTCAGTCTTCTGTCAGGTTAGAACAAAGGTGTGGAAAGTTCTTCCAGAGGGAAGTCTCTTGTTTTCATTGTACACACTATTAACAACTGTGAAAATTAATTAAATCATTGCTAATTCACTGTCTGAATTTCTGCAACTGAGTTCCAGTGATCAGGACAGGTTATAAAGACCCAGTGCAGAAAACGAAGACTTGGTTCTCAGGGTGACCTTGAACCAGCCTCCTGTCTGTGTGCATTTAAGAGCAGAGGAGCTTCTGCAGCCTCCAGGCCTCCTGGTTTGCAAGGTGCTCCCCAGTCACTATATCTCTGTAAATAGACTTTGTGGCCACTTTTTATCCCCCTTTACAAATGAGCACTTTAAAACCCACAGAGCTTAATGACTTGTCCAGAGCCACACAGTTAATATGAGATAAGGCTGGGATTTAAGCCCAGATCCCTATATTTATTGAATTGCAATCACATACTATGTAATGATGTTTGTATGCCGTATTGTGATCTATACTATGACAATAGTCTCATGGATTTCGTCACCTTCTGATGCATCACCATCCTATTCTGCACCATGACAAAACTGCCTACCAACTCATTTCTCAGAATGTATCCTCCTGGTTAAGCAACCTCTGGCTGTAATATGATTTTAATGCTTTACATGTACCAAATTTGGAATATGAGATAACATTTTAAAATCTCAGCCTTCAAGAATAGAAGTATTAGTTGGACTTTAAATAAGCAATCATTGACAGTTCACTGTAAAAAGTTCTGTATAGGCGAGAGCTGTGGAGAGGTGCTGGAGAGCCGAGGCTGGGGGATGCTTACGGTTTGCCTGGTATCTCAGATGGCATCTGCAGTCACACCGAGCAAGCGGTAAAACAGCAAGCCTCATTCAGGGGATGGGAGGTGCGTGGAGCTTCCAGAGGGAGCTGGGTCAGAAGTGAGACCTGCTTGCAAAGGAGACTGGCAAACATGGGGCAGACAGTTTAGCAGAAGGCCTAGAGAATCTGATGGATGGTAGGGTGGGGGGGTCAAGGCTGTGGCAGGAGCCCTTGCCGTCTTTGAGACTGGAATGCATCTCGTGGTCATGCATGTACTTCTGCAGAGAAGGATGTGCTGCCTTTCCCAGGAACCCCTCCAGGAACATTCTTCCTGCTGGGATTCTGTTGGGAAGGCTCAGCCCAGCCCCCATCCCCAAGAATCCAAACTGCCAGGCTTTCCCTACTTTGTCACCACTGGGTCACCTTGAGCCTGGTTTTTCAGCCTGCTCTGGCTACCTGGTGCCTGGTAGAGTGACTTCAGGGATGGTGGAGTCAATGCACAGTCATGTCCTTTTTAGCCCCCTAATGAGCTGTGACAGGGGCTGGCAGGAGAGGGAAAGGAGTCTGGGACTCAAGGACATGCAGTTACATACTGAGTGACTTGGGCAATCAGACAGGGATGTTAAAATTCCCCCCAGCTCATCTTTCAAGAAAAAACGCTGCTGCTTTGATCTCATCAAAACATGGAGATATGGAATTAATTAACTAATTAGCCTATTAATTCCATAACTACTTGTTGAATGTTTTCTACTCTTCTGGAGATAAATTAAAGGTAAAGGGGAAAAAATAAACAAGGACCCCTGTCCTCAGGGCTTATCTGTCCAACAAAGCGGGACAGTAGTAAATGATCATATTTATATGCAATTGTAGTGTGTTATGTGCAAGATGGCAGAATGGAGGAGTCACTGGAGGATAGAGGGACCAGTGTGGACAGGTGAAGAGCATAGTTTGGTGGCTTTCTGAAAAAGGGGTACCTGGGCAAGAGGGAAGAGCCTGTGAAACAGAAGCCTCTACAAATGCCAGTGGGGTCAGGCAGGAATGGGGTGCTGGGACCCCATCTTCCCTCAGTGAGACTTCATTATCTGCTAAGATACTTCTCTATGGTGGTCTGTGGTGGTCTGTGGCCTGGATCCATCCTCTAGGACACATTCTCTAGGTGGTGCCAGAAACCTTTAGCAGAGTTAAAACAGAGAGTTCCCCCTATGACGCTTGGGGCTACTGAATGTCCACAGTGGGCAAAGGCTTTAGAAGTCATCACATCCAATCCTCCCCTTATGCAGATTGAGGTCATGGAGGCCCAGAGTGGCTAAGTTGTCTGACACAGTTCACACAGCTAGTCAGTTCAGAGCCAGCCCTGGTCTGTCTGACTTCAGTACTCGTGACCCAAGAAAGCGTGAATCTTGAGTTTAAGCAGATCTAAGTTAACACATCAATATATCACTTACTGGCTGTGTGTTCTTAGGCAAGCTGTTATCCTTTCTCCCCTCCACTGTTCCACTTCAAATAACGTTTTCTAAAGCGTTAAAGTGATGGTCACACACAACAGAGTATTTGGCATCCAGGAAGTGTAAGAATTGTCTTAGGGTGGGCTCCCTGGAAAACAGATCAGAGCCAAAGGTTACATGCTAAGGCAGGGTTTAGAATTCCAAGGAAGGACGAGGGACGGGAGAGTGACAGGAAAGGGCAGAGCACATGAGAGGCAGTGGGTTAGCGTGCCGCCCATAAAGGTTTTGTACCGAGCATATCTGATTGTTCAGTGTGCAGAGCCTAGTGATTCTGTTGACTCACCCAGGAGTCCTCAGAAGGGAGGGAAGCGTGCATCTGTGAGTCGCATCTCTCCTTGGCTGAATTTCATGCTGAAGGACACCACTTTCCCACACTCCTGAGCTGTGAAACAGAATCCTCTGGTGCCTTCCAAGAAATTAGGTCCCGAGACAACAAAGTCAGGGCTAGAAACGCAAGGTTGATCCTGTTGGTGGGTCCAGTGGCTAGGTGTGGCTACACCCATGACCCCTGTGCAGCACAGGCAGGCAGGTGATCCAGAGTCCTGCACAGGCTCACAGCTCAGCAGAAGTGAGATAAGGCAACACGATGGGTTAGCAAGGACAGGTACAGGCCAGCACAAAGATGATGTGCCGTGATGACATGACCCCAGCCACCCCAGGGACAGAACCTGCTGAGCCCCCCTGCAGTGAGGATGGAGCCTTTTCTTTGTGGATCAGTGGAAAGTAGCTGGCGCTAAGCCATCTTCCCGTGGGTTACTAGGACTGTTGAGAGGAAATATTCATGGACAAGCAAACCCAAGGACAAGAGCAAACCCATAGCCCACGAGTGACTAGTGGCTCGGGTGACCAGTGTCCCTCTTCTTGTTTATGGTTTGTTCTGCTGCAAAGAATCCAGTGAAGCCAACAGCTGTCAGCAGCTCAGAGTGAAAACCACTGTTTGCATTGTACAGGAGCAAACCTGAGTTGCCTTCTTAGGAGCCCAGGAGCCAGACAGAGCCAGTATCCTACCGGTGGCTCTCTGGGGGCCTCTCAGGCTGCACATGTAGAACTTGGGAGTGGAGAGGATGTGCTGGTGTGTGCATATACAGGGCTCCCTCCCACTAGGTCCCCTGGACAAAGCCAGGGCAGTGCAGCAAAGACTACAGCAGCAGAGATGAGGGCTTGATATCAAGGAGAGCCACCAGCAAGGGGCTTGGGGCCTCTGTCTTTGGAGATTTCCCAGGCTATAGCAGCTGCTTGTATGTGCAAGTAATCTGCAGTAAAGAGAGGCACAGGGTTGCCTTAAGTGAAGGCCTGGAGCCTGAGTCTGTTATCATCACATGCCTGGTGGTGGGTAAGGACACATGGCACAGGAGTTCAGGAACAGCATTCAGGCCTGTTCTCCACGTGTATATGAGGATCATCAGAGAATGCCTTTTGTTACAAACCACAGTCCCATTAAAGGGAGGAGTGTGGTTGGAGCTGAAACATGTGGATTCATATAAAAGGGGTCAGTTGGGCACCTACCCCTTCCTGGGGCTGTGTCTGAGTAAGGGGGATAAGAAGGATGGCTGCTTGGGAGACTTGTTTTGTGTTTTGTTTTGTTTTTGATACTGGGGATCAAACTTATGACCTCACGCTTGCTAGGCAGGCACTTATGTCACTGAGTTAAACCCCCAGCATTAGGCTATCAGGTTTGAATTCATTTTGTCCTGGTCACTGTGAGTTCATCTTGGGAGAAAGGAAAGCACATTCAGGAGACAGAGGCCCCATCTGACTTCACAATGCACAACTAAGCGCTGTTGACATTCAGCTCCGTGTTGGCAGAATAGCTCATTTAGCCTCAAAGAGAAAAGGGCTTTGGAAGGCTTAGATTCGAGGCTTATAAGCCTTGGACATCAAATAGCTCTTACCAGTGACACTTTGATTAATTACATGTAAATGAAACTGAAATGCCTCCTTCTATTTCCCCTTCTGGGAAGGAAATTTGCCAGAGACCTGGTGGGGTGATGGTCCGTGGCCTCAGTCCACTGGGAAGCTTGTCCAGAGACATTTTCCTGAACTAAAAAATATTAAAACTAGTCCTCTGG